TGGAGGACACCGTGTATCTGGGCAGGTGTGTGAGCGTGACCTTCCGGGGCCAGGCCCAGGCCCAGGGGGTCTGCTGTGTCCCAGAAAATCGGCTCTCCCGTCAGAAGCAGGGGATTGCCACGTCAGAGGTTAATTCATGCAATCCTCTCGGTGATGGCTGTGAGGCTCAGAGAAAAATGTAAGGCTCTCATGAAATGCCTCTGGAGACAGGATGCCAGGGCCCCTGGCACATGAGGTGGGAGCTGCCGGTGCGAGTGTGTGTGTGCATCTGTGCGCACACACGTGTGCCGTGGGAGCCCCGCTCCCAGGTGCTGGAGTCAAACCTGTGTTCGAGCCCCAGCCCTGCCACTAAGGGCTGCGGGCCCTTGAGCAAGCGTGTTAACCTCTCAGCCTCCGTCTCTGAGATGCAGAGCTTCCCCAGCTTCTCGACCCACCTACTCTGTCCAGCAGAGGGACAGGCCCTGGACAGGGGTGACCAGTGGCATGGCTGGGTGGCCGACCAGGGAAGATGGGGGCCTGGACTGGGATTTCCCCAGCTTCCCCCAGAGGGAAAATCACCTTGGTTTTCAAGACTTCTGGGCAATGGCCCAGGAACCCCTCTCAGGAAGAGAGAAGGTGTCTTTCAGAGCTGGAGGCACCAGAAGTGCCCGCTGCATGAAGCTGGCATGTCGTGCTTCTTGGGGCTCCTTCAGGGCAGCTTAGGGCGTGTCTCCCCACAGCCGGGTCCTCAGGGCCTGTCCCGCACAGCTCGAGCAGCGGGCCTCTCGCCCTGAACCCAGGGACGGGCCCGTCTCCTCCCAGCTTTGTAAACACACCCTGGCTCTATCACACAGACCCAGCCTGGCCCCTCACAGCCTGACACGCAGGGACAGGCCTGTGTCCACAAGCCGTGGCTTCCAAGTGCATCTGAGACAGAAACGAGGCCTAATTAACCCAGGACAACTGTTTATGCTTCCACATCCCCAGGGATCGGCCTCGGGGGCCAAACCCCCTAAACTCAGCAGGGCAGGGCCGGCCTCTCCAGGGAGCCCCGAGGACGCTGCTCTGCTCCGGGGCACCCTGGCGGGGGTGGGGGGGCTGGCTGCCACCCCAACCTGATCCTGTCCTCCTGCTCTGGGCCCCGGGCCCCCCGCACCTCCCTGACCCGCCTGCCCCGGGGCGGGAGGCGGCAGGAACAGAAGAGCTGCCTGCAGACAGGAAGGGGCAGGGAAGGGGGGAGCCTGGGACATTGAGGGTCACCCCCTGTGGGCCTTGGGATCTTGGACAAGTGTGTCTCGGAGTCCCTCACTTGCAAACATCAACAACAACGGACCATCTGGTGAGCCGACGACACGCAAAGCCCACTGCCCCTGGGGGAAACGCCCCCGGTGGGCTGGGTCAGGCGCCGGAGTTCAGAGCTGAGGCCGGAAGGGCAGCAGGACCCCCAGGATGGACAGAGGCGAGGGCGTCGCACGGGTGTTGTTCTCAGGCTCTGCCCGTTGCCACAGCGCAACTGGAGGTCGATTCTAGAGCCGTGGTTCTCAAGCTTTATTTTTTTTCATTATGGTTCCCCTAAGGAGCCTATTAAGACACCTCCATCCCAATCTGCCCTGATCCCACTGAGGTTAAATTCTAGAAAACAAGATTCTGTTGAGTAGACTGAACTACATTCTCTACACACCACTGGAATAACTAGGTATTTTTAAGCCCCAAACACCGATTCTGGCCCCCTTGGAGGCAGTACCACACCTGTGGAGAACGCCCTGGAGGGTCCCAGTACTACTGGGTAAAGACTCCATAAAGCTACGGGAACACAGCAGGTAAGAGGTAGCATTCTCCACAAGCAGAAAGTTTTCCCTATGTTGTCCTGCAGCCACAACACGCACATGCGTTGTGTGTAGGGGAAAAATGAGAAATACAACATTTAGAGAATTTAAAAACTCAAGCCGAGGCTGTGGGATTTCAAATGTCCTTAATTTTGATGTTCTATTGATTTTAAGTTAAAGGTAGAGAAAAGCAAACGAAAGAAAAGAAAAATCCCAAACGGTCAGTGGTAAATACGGAGGAGAGAGTGGCGGTATCAGGCAGGAGAACCAGGACACATCCCGAGTTGGGCCGAGAGGCTGAAGCTTGGGATCGGGTGTGGGTGGATCGGGCAGGATGCGGGGCAGCCCCTGGATCCATACTGAAATCTGAGTGTGACTATGCACAAGTCGCTGGACCTCTGAGCACTGACATGTGCTGAATAAGGAACAGCAAAGTGCAGACACACCATGTACTGGCAGGTACTTAGCAACTGCGTCTGACTGAATGAACTCCGGCTGGAAGCTGTGCAAACCGTGAGATGGATCGGCTACAGAGCCAGGATTCAAACCCCAGGTCTCCTGGCTCATTTCACCAGCCAGCACTACCTCAGAAACACCTGTGTCTCCTTGCCGTTTTATAAGGAAGGGGAGAGTGCCTCCCTTCCATCTCATCAAAACTGAGTGGCAAAGAGTCACAGGAATGAAACCAGGCTGTTGATGCTGAGAGATCACTGCCACCTGGTGGCAGCATACCTGAATTATTGGGGGGCGGGGGTGTCAAAAGGGAAAAATTACGAGCATTTCATCTGTGCTGTGCTTAGTCGTGTCCAACTCTGTGCAACCCCCTGGACTGAAGCCCACCAGGCTCCTCTGTTCATGGGATTCTACAGGCAAGACTACTGGAGTGGGTTGCCATGCCCTCCTCCAGGGGATCTTCCCAACCCGGGGATCAAACCCTGGTCTCCTGCACTGCAGGCAGATTCTTTACCATCTGAGCCACCAGGGAAGCCCTACACGCTCCTAAGCCTACAACAAAAAGTGCTTCAACGGTGAGAACACAGGTCACCATCCATCACCTGGCAAAAGGGCTGCTACCTGCTGGGCGCTTGCTGATTCCGTGACGCTCTGACCTGAGTGTGCTTGCTTTTGTTTTTTTGTCATGGACATCTACATACTGCTATATTTAAGAGGGATAACCAGCAAGGACCAAGCAAACAAATAAATAAAATGATGCTATGGAAAAATAACAAATAAAATTTAAGTGATTTAACAACCATCAACAAACCAACCACTGCCGAAATTGAGCAGACATCTAGGTCTTGATGAGAAGTGCTAGAAGCTCAGGGTTCCCCATTTCGGTACTTGCTCAATCAACTGTCTGAACCCCACATGCAATCCTTGTGCCTGAATTCGTACATTTCTTGTCAGCTTTAAATCACCCTTCTGGCTGTCACAGTCTCCCGAAGCTCCACTTTCCATGCCTACCATCTTAGTCATCGCTTGTAGCTGCGTAGTATTCACACATGTCACCAGTCCTGCCTTTCAGGGGTTCCCAGAGATTCCAGAAAGCGGCTGGAGACAGTGTGGACCAGGGCAAGGCGGCAAGCAGAGTGGAGTCCACTCAAGACCACCTCCTCCTTGACACTGGCCTTGCCACCTGTTCAGAGACGTCTCCCCAGCCTGTCAGGTGGGTAGTAAGTCTCCATCCTGCGCCGAGAGAAAGCAAGGTGCTCACTCACTGAGGACTCACGAGGGAGACACGCGCGGGAGGAGCAGAAGAGGAAAGCTCTGGGCAGGTAGCCGCCGCCGTCCCCGGCCGTGGGGCAGCCCCTTCTCGCAGGGACCACATCATGCCGCCCGTACTCCTCTCTGGTGGCTGGTCTGGCCTTCACCTCCCAGGCCCGCTGGCAGGTCCTGAGGCAGACCCTCCCTGCCTGTCCCGGGACACCTGGCTGCAGAGATCAGGCCTCAGAGAGGATGTCCCTGCAGAAATCAAGGTCTGAGCAGCACCTGCCGGGGCCACAAACGCGTGCCTCCCAGGGCCTTCCGCCCACATTCAGGAAGCCCCAGGATGGCCGAGGCCTGGGTCTGAACCTGGCCCCGGGCCCTTACCGGCTGCAGGAGCTGGGCTCGGGTCTGGCCTTGGCTTCCCCACGGAGAAAATGGGAGCAATGATAACGAGCAGCCTGACAAGGGTCAAAGAGTCACGATGAGGCAGGAGCCCGGTAAACGCCAGTCCCTTCCTTGTGCAGCCCCAGCTTGGAGACTCAGGCTCAGCATCGAAGACGGCCACCCAGGCACAAGCGAGAGGCCTGCCGCTGTCGGGCGGGGAGGAGGGGTGGCCGTCTGGGGACCTGGAATGTCAGTTTCCAGGGCTGAGCTTCTGTCCTCTGCCCAGCTGCGACGGGAGCCCTCCAAAGGTGTGAGAAGAATGCTGAGTGTCCCCTGGTCCTCCCCATACGACACACGGCCTCACACCCCGCCCAGGGCCAGCCACCCAGCCCCACCGCACTACAGCTTACTGCAAAGGTGCCGGCTCGGATGCACACCGGTCATCCTAGCCACGCCCTGCTGGCTCTGCAAGGCCTCCTGTGCTTGCTCTAAACTAAAAGGTCAGGAGGTGAGGGACAGGAGGCAGGGTGTGGTCCTGAGCCACAGAGCAGAATGTGGACTCTCCGGGGCAGCGGGGACACTTCGCACAGATCTGGCCCCTGGGTCTTGAACACGACCAGTCAGGGACTAATTCAGCATTTGTGCTAGAGAGCTGGGGACCATCCCACACAGAGCTAGAACCCAAAAATCAGGCCAAAGAACCACAGAGCGGAAAGGAAGGGAAGCCTGCGGAAATACAGCTGGACTTCTGCATCTCTGATAAATTTTCCTCTGCTGCCAACTTCAAAAGTCACTTTCAACTTATCACCTGGACTCCCTCAAGTCCTGCCCCCCGGAGCCGCTCAGGTGAGCTCCTGTTCTGAGAGCAAGCGGGTCTCCGATCCTTCCAGAAGCCGGCACGCCGCAGGGTTCCCAGGCAAAGTCAGGGGCCAACTGGGCAGGGACGCAGCTTGGGCATCACAAGGGGGCAAAGTATCAACCATCCAAGAGGGAGGTAGGGGCTTTCAGACAACGGGGCAAAGCGCCCAGGAGGTGAGAGACCCCTGCTCTCCAGCCTCTGGGTGACCAAGCAGCACCTCAAACGAGCAACGAGCCAGGACTTACCTTCCACTGCAGAGAATGGAACCACTGGTCTCGCAGGTAGCTGTTGGCAGCCTGCAACGAGAACAGGACAGCGCGGGTCAGTCACCAGCCTGCAGCATCTGAGCATTTTACGGGCCAGCATGAGGTCCCGCACCAGGCTGAACCCCTCGTGTGTAAAACCAAACTGGAAGCGGTCACCTGGTGGACTCATCTGAAATAAGACACTGCTCTCGCCTAGCGCTTATTCTGCTGGGCAGACGCTGGTGGCTGCAAGAGTTTCAACTGCACACGAATCTCAGCATCTTCAGGATCAGAGAAGGGGCCAGGATGAGTGGGGAAGAGGCACGGGGTGAGAGGGTGATGGGGATGAGCTGCCTAGGTGCTCCAGGCGCCAAGCATTTGCCATCCATGTAATCTGTCCTCCGAGGTGGGCAATGCTCTGTTTCACCAAGGGAAAAACTGAGACCCTGAACACTCACGTCAACTGACCGCATTTAAACCCGCAGTCTGGCTTCCAAGTCTGTGGGTTTAACCACCACACCCCCTGCCAACTGCAGACAGCCACGGTAGAGACCAGGCGGCCTTGGCCTCAGGCAGAACTAGTAGATGTTACACATCCCCGTTCGGGGAGCTCGGCCTTTCAAGACCAACACCACGCCAGCTCCGAGCCTCCGGGCCACTCGGTGTTGGACGGTTCTCACTCCCAATTCCAGCATGTCTGCTGATGACAAGTGCAGTATTCACGGTGGGTCTGCCGGGCGCTGGACGCTAGGCCCTACGCCTGGATGAACTCATCCTCTCCTTAGGTCAACCCTGGGGAGTGGGCACTGCCAGCTGCAGTGAAGACGAGGAAACTGAGGCTCAAGAGATTGAACTCATCCCCCAGGGGCTCACAGGCAGCAGGGGAGGGGGGCCAGTGCCTGGACCCAGCGGTCTGACTCATGATGAAACCACAGTGTGACGGCATCTCACGTCTGCCGCTGGCCACCCCCGAGGCAGAAATGTAGCGCCCGTCCCCTGCCTGAGCCCCAGCCCGCTGTTCTGAGTGGCCACAACCCTGATGGGCAAGGGACTCTGACAAAGACCAGAGCCTCTCTCCAGGCAGGAATGCCTGCCTTCTCTTCCTGGGCCACACACAAACACAGACACACACACAGACACACACACACACACACAGAGACACACACACACAGACACACACACAGACACAAATGCACCCACCATGTGCATCCTGGGGTCACCCTCATTCTAGAGGATTCAGCTCTTACAGATGACCTCTCCTGATCCCTGGCAAACCACAGATGAAACCCCAGCCGCTCGCCCAGGCCAGAGTTTGGGGAAGTCTCTGAGCTGCAGAAAATGAACCAGTGCAGTGGCCCATGGAGCTGGGAACCGGGCTTCCGCAGGCAAGCTCGGAGATGCACTTGACACCCCAAGCAGCTCCACACCAGCACGGTGAGGCAACGTGAGTGTGTGCTTCTGCTCTGAGTCGGGGGAGTAGGCTGGAGGGCACGTGCGTGGGACGCAGGAACCTCTGCGGTAGCTGAGTCTCCAGAAGCCCCGGGTTCAGGCCCCCTGAGGACCCAAAGCCTGCGACACCTGACCGGTGCGGGGCAGCCCCCGCGGAGGGCCCGTGGGGGGTCACCTGCTGGTGCTGACCGAGCTGTGGTCTCAGGACAGATTGTAGACTTCAGGGTGACCAAAAGCAGCCCACACTCAGGAAGAGCGGGGCAAGACCCCAACGATGAGAGAATCCATGAAAGACGCCCACTGAGCACGGCGCCCCGCGTGTGCCAACAGCAGGGATCAGGGCGGGGCGGCCACGGCCAGCGCTGTGCTGATAAACGTCTAACAGCAGGCGCCCCTGGACAAACAGCCCCAATCACGGTGGGCGCAGACGTCCACACGGACGCCCCTTGGCTGATTCCAGGCTCCCAGGGCATGTCCCTGAACCAGTGCTAAGGCAGGATCCTGGTGGCTCTCGGGAGCTGGGACAGGCAGGAATGAGCCACTCCAACATGATTCAGACCCACAACTATTTCTCTGCTTTTCAACACACCGAGGTGATCGGGGACAGGGGAGGTGTGGCGTGTCAAACGAGGGGCCTCCAGAGACTGTCCACGTCCTAACTCCCAGGAATGTGTTCAGTTCAGACGCTCAGTCATGTCCAACTCTCTGCGACCCCATGGCCTGCAGCACGCCAGGTTTCCCTTTCCATCACCAACTCCCAGGGTTTACTCAAACTCATATCCTTTGAGTCGGTGATGCCATCCAACCATCTCATCCTCTGTCGTCCCCTTCTTCTCCTGTCCTCAATCTTCCCAGCATCAGGGTCTTTTCCAATGAGTCAGTTCTTTGCAACAGGTGGCCAAAGTATTTCAGCTTCAGCTTCAACATCAGTCCTTCCAATGAACACCCAGGCCTGATCTCCTTTAGGATGGACTGGTTGGAATGTGGTACCTTGTTGCAAAGGGACTTCGTGGATCAAGTCAAGGACCCTGACGTGGGGAGATTACTCTGGCCCCTCTGGGTGAGTTATGAGAGTCTATATAAGAGGCAAACAGGAGGTCAGAGAGTCAGAGATGTAAACAGAGCTTGGAATGACGTGGCCATGAGCCCAGGGATGCAGGCGGCCTTGAGAAGCTAGAGATGGATTCCTCCCTAGGGCTTCAGATGAACCCACACTTGGGAGTTTAGCCCAGTGGGACACATGTTGAATTCAGATCCCCAGAATGGTCAAGATACAAATCTGTGCTGGCCTCTTTTTTTTTTGTAGAAGCTCAGTTCCCTGACCAGGGATTAAACCCGGGCCCAGAGCAGGGAAAGCCAAGTCTTAACCCCCGCTTCAGCGGGAATTCTCAAACCTGTGCTGTGTTAACCACCACAGTCAAGGTACTCTGCCTTTTGGCAGCAGGTGTGACCCCACCACCTGCTCTCTGTACTGCTGGGCCCCTGGGAACCTGGCTGGGGAACCTGCAGGCGCCACGCTGATGAAGGGAGAGGCTCTGGTCAGGGCAAGGCCCCCACCCTGCAAACAAAAGGGTGGGCCAGAAGTTTGCTCCAGGAAAGAGGAGGCAACTTCTGTGACACCCTCGCAGTTGCAACCCCCATCTCGATGCTGGAGACAGGGAGGCCACGGCAAGAGCAGGCCCCCCGCTCCTTCCTCCGGCTGGTCGAGTTTTGGAGGACAGAGGCCGTGTGGGGACGTCCGGAATCCCGGGGCGGGCATCTCAAGGCGCCGTCCGGGGGAAGGCAGCGCACTCAGAGTGGACAGAGTCCCCACGCTGCCGTGGGGAGGGCCAAGCATGGACGACGGCCCCCAGCCCGGACGACGGCTCCCAGCCCCACCACGGGGGACCCAGGGCGCATCTCTGCGTCCTGAGTGGAGCGGGGCCCAGCCTGGGAAAGAGGCCCTGGAAGCAGGCTCTGGCGGGCGCCAGCCTCTCCTGGCGATAAATCTTTCGAATCCTGCAAGGGCCTCGTTCCAGGCAAATTCTGCCTAATTTCCTCTTTGAAAGTTGCCAAGTTCCCTCTCATTGTTGTATTGTCTGGAGAGGTGAGAAAAACAGCCAAGGGTGCACGGCGGGTGACCGTTCCCAGGTTCGCCCTCCCCGCCCCACTTCTTAGGGGAAAAAACAGCACGTGCTGTGCCGCCGGAAAAGGTCTCTCTCTCCGGCTTCCAGTAAGGAGGGCGCCCGCCCTGTCCTGCCTCAGCTGCCAGCATCTGGGGTAAACAGTGGCCTGGCCTCCCCGGGGGCTTTCGAGAACATCACTGAGATGAGCCGGTCTAGAAACTCTTCCAGAAAGCAGCAGCACTCTCGAGAAAGTGGAGCTGGCAGGGGCGGGGCGGGTGCCCTTGCTCCTGGTCTCGCCTGAAACCTTGTTGTCTGAGCAGTGGGCTCTGTCTGCTTTCTCATCAGTGACCGGACAGCCACTGAGGAGGCAGAGATCCCTGGGAGATGATCCAGGTCTTCATCTCTGCTCCGCGACTCCACGGGCCAGCAAGGAGCACCCCCCACACCCCTGCCCGGCACTGTTCATGGGCTTGTGGAGTTACCCCTCACGATGAAATGCCAGCAGACAGAGCATTAGAAGAAAGAAGATAAATAGGTCCTTTCTGCACCCGGGGACTCTAATAACATGCCATTAGGGAGCTCACGCTGAAACACACAAAACAACCACAAATACGCCGGTCAGACCCAGGCTGGAGGGCTGGCGCCTTTGTCTGCCGACTGGACTTGCAGGCATGTTGCGCGGTGTCTCTGAGCAGGGCAGGAGGACCATCTCCCTGACAGCACTTGTCCTTTGCTTTTTTAATATTCATTTATTTGGCTGCGCCAGGCCTTAGTTACAGCAGGCAGGATCTCTTTTTGTTTTGTTTTTTTTAGTTTCAGCATGCGGGGTCTTCAGTCCATGGCATGTAGGATCCAGTTCTCAGACGAGGGATGGAAGCCGGTCCCCCTGCCTAGGGAGCCTGGAGTCTTAGCCACTGGACCACCAGGGAAGTCCCCTGCGAGCATTCCTGAACCTTCCCTGAACTCAGGTCAGTTCCCAGGGGGTCTGAGTGAGGCACTGGCTCAAATTCTCACAAAGCAGCTACGTAAGGATGAGGGGTAGGGAGCGGAGAGGGAAAAAAACAGAGAGCAGAAGAGACTTAGGTCAGGACGCAGAGAGAAGGGCCAGGGGGAGAGGCAGTCCTGGAGAAAGACCCCAGGGGGGGAAGCAGAGAGTGAGGTGCATCAAGGGACCCCCAGACATCGCCCCGCCGCAGGATGGACTCCTACGCGGAAGGCAGGGGCGCTGGGGGCCTGCAGGCCACCCGCACTGAGGCTGTTCCTGCGGGGGCAGCAGGGGTCAGGATGAGAAGTCCTGGGGTCTCAGCCCCGTGTGCAGATGGGAGCCGTTTGCAGGACTGAGTCACTGGCACCCAGACATCCTGAGCACCCAGAGCGAGGCCAGAGGAGAGAGGAGCTGCCCTCTTGATTCATTACCTTGGACTTAAGCGCAGATGACCCTGTGCGTCTGGCGGCCACTATGGGGGCAGAATGGCTTGGGGCGGCACCCAGGTGCAGCGTGGCCTTGACCCCCGGCGCCCCTTGCTGCCGTGCTCGGCCCCCACCCCCTACTCCCGCCAGGACGCGGGGACTGCCGTCACACCCCTGCTCTGGGCCCGTCCTGTGACTCTGGACAAGCCCCCCGGCAGGGGATCCCACTGACCAGAAGGAGAGCTGGTGCCGGGCGCCCGGCCTGCCACCTCAGGGGCTGCCCCATCACCGCGTGGGCCCGCAGACTGCAGCCCAGCCCCATGGCACCTCGAGACTGTTTATACAGCCAGGCGGCCGCTCGCTGCCCGTGAACCACAGGAGGGCGAGGAGGAGGGGACGACGGGGGAAGCAAGCTGGGAGGGACCCTGGGGACGGCGGGGCTGCACCCATCTGGCCGCCGCCTCAGCCCACCTGCCCGCAGTCAGCCAGGCCCGGGGAGCGCAAATGGGAGGCCCCCGCGGGATCAAAGGGACACTCGGGCAATGCCCGGCACCCCACATCCTCCAAGCGCCCTGCCCCTGTCTGCGGGTCCCTCCTTGGAGGACGCTGCCCGTTCTAGCCCCAGAGCACTGGGAGATGCCCCTGCCAGGGACAGGGCAATTACAAGGCTCCTCTCAGGCCTGCCCGCCTGGGGGTCTCACGGATGCCCCGTATGCTCGGCCAGCAGACCAGTCCCTCGACTGCCCCCCACCTCTCGGGAGATCTCGGCGGCAGCCTGCGGCCCTCAGAACAGCACTATGGCTCCCTCGCTCGATTGACATGACCTGTGGGGCCTGGCTGCCTGCAACCCGACAATTCTGGGCTCATGTTTAGGGCCTGCACCACCGCCCCCTCCTGTCCGCGGCAGGGACCCCCACACCCACACTCTCAGGCTTCACACCGCGTCCTCCCTCTGCCCACCGTGGGCATCCCATCCTGGCACACTCCTACTCACCCCTCCACACCCAGCTCTAGCATCACCACCCATGGGGGGCCTTCCCTGGGGCCTCCAGGGTGACAGCGAGTCCCCCAGCCCTCGGGGACAGGCCTCTGTTTCAGCTGCTACCTCTGGGGGGTTTGTTTGTGGCTCCGTCTCCCCAGGGGCCTGACTCACCTCCCCCCCGCCCCGACCCGCACAGGGCATAGCAGGCTCGCGGCTCTGTGATTCCAAGGGGATCTTCTCAGCCCCTCCCTCTCCGCTCTCTATGGACCCCGAGTATTGCCCTCCTCGCCCCCAGTCTCCCATCACTGCTCCCCCCCAGCGCCAAGGGGCCAGAGCTGACCACTCCCTTCACAGAAGGTGCAACCATCACAGAGGGGAGGGAAGGATAGAAAGGAAAGCGCTGCCGGCTGGAAGTTAGGAGGAAAAAGGGGAGGGCAGCTATGAGAAAACCTGCAGGGTGTGAGAGATTTAGGAAGAAACTGGGCCCAGCTGTGCCTAAAGTCCACTCTCGGACTGCCCAGGTACAGCATCAAATTCTCTTCCTGCTTCAGATCATTTGAACAACATCTGCATCATTTCCAACCAACAGCCCCTGACCAATACACACAAAACATGCACTGTTTCCCAAGGAGAGGGCTCCTACTTCCATCAGGGCCTCAACAGAAAAAGATTAATGAAAAGTGAGACACCTCCTCACTCGCGGTACAACAGAAGGTAGCACATCTGTCGCTTGCTTGGTGTTCACAGCCTTATAAAGCCCGTGTCTCTGTGCCTCGGTTTCCTCATCTGTAAAATGGGAGACCAGGAAACCGGAGAAACCAAAACACAACGTGGGAAGCTCCTCGGCGGGAGCCCAGTCTGTGCACACTCCCTCTTCTGCTCCCTCAGTGAGCCCCGATTTACACCTTTCCTGTACTCGGAGGAAAAAAAACCACTGCAAGTCAGTCTTTGCTCTGGACAGCTGCCGTCTCCGAGGGGAGGAGGAGGGTGCCGAGCAGGGACGGAGCCAAAAGTGCACGTTCATGTTTACGCGTCCTACCTGCAGCAGGACAGTTCCCCCAGGAATTGTGAGCTGTAAACAGTACTTCGGGGCATTCTCCCAGGACAGCAGCTGAACGTCTTCAATGGCGCTGTAGGAGACGGAGTTTTCCATGTACCCAGTTGGCTGCAGCAAAAAAAAAACAGAAAAGACATACATTGGTTATGAGATCAGGCACAATAACTGCCTTGGAAAACATTCTCGCTTTAGCAATGAGCACGCTGAGCTGGTACAGACGCCTGGCAACTTTGGAGACCGAAGGAGCTCGTCTTTCCTGGCCGGCGGCGTTCAGCTGGAGGGGAGGGGCCGTGGCGGACACCCACCCACGTGTGTTGGGAGGTGTGCGAAGCCTGGGCACTGCTCCTCCCAGTGTCGGCGGGGCCGAGCGTGGCCGGAGCCGGGACCGCTCCACCCCTCACCGTGTCCCAGCCACCACCCTCCCCTGCCCAGGAAGCGGTCACAGCCCCCTGCCCTCCGGACTCCCCTCCTGTCTCCCCTGCAGACATATGTTCCCGCTTGGCACTCAGGGCCGCGTTCTGAGTCGGCAAACTCGATCCCTCCATGCCCCTGCTTGCATCTGTCAGGGGCTCCGGGTGACCCGACCACGAACTCCACGCCCGGGCTCCCCGCGTCTGACCTCGTGCCCACTCCAGCCCCACCCCACCTCTCTCTGCACCCCAACACTGGTCTGCGGATGGCATTTGGCCTGCGCCGTGTCCCCAAAAGGCAGGGGTCACCCCCCACCCTGGCATCTCCTTTTGCCCTCTCCAGACCCCGAAACCCACCTGGCCGCCCCCCTCCTCGGGCCCCGCATGCTTACTACATCCGTCTCAACCCCTGTGACCCGTGTGGGCCGTCTGTTTGCCATCTGCCTCCCCCAGGCCGTGGCTCCGTGAGGTCATGCCACGTCTGTCTGGGTCCCCGCTCTGCCTCCAGGGTCCGGCGCACAGCAAGGACCCAGTGACTTGTGTTAAAAGGGGGAGACTGGTGAGGGTTATCACGGCTCAGTGCCGGGGGGAGGGTGGGGCGAGCGAAATTCACCATCGCTCACGGCTGAGTGAGCTCATCTGTCACGGAAAGGAGGTGCCAGGCACCCAGAGGCCGCGTCCTTGGCACTCGGGGCCCGGGAAGCCAGACTTCCGCAGTGTCGGAGGCGAGCATGGCCCAGCTGGGAAGGGGGACAGCTAACACCCCCGACAGTCTGACACAGGCCGAGCCTCCCCGAGCATGCGGCAGGAGCTAGCACCTTTGACTCTTATGACCGTGACCAGAGCAGGTGCCGGGCTGTCCCCGCTGCACAGATGAGGATGCCGCGACTCAGGACCTGACTGGCCCAAGGCCGCCTGGCCGCTGGCTCAGGGATCTCCAACCTGATCAGTAAGCTCTGACACAAGCAACGTAAAATCTGGGGCCCAGCAAGAGAATTTCACCCGAAGGACTGGGGACCTCCATGAGGCTTTTTCTTTAATTAAATTTTTTAATTGAAGTATAATTGCTTTATAGTATTGTGTTGGTTTCTGCCCACCAAGTTGTTTATTTTCAATTCCTATCTGCCAAAGCTGAGATATCGTGGTGATGGTGGTTTAGGAGCAGAAAAGGGTTGAAGGCTTAAGCTGCCTCAAATTTCCCTGATATGATCAGCTCCCAAGCTCAGGTAGTCAGAGGGACTGATGGATCAATTCATTCATTCACTCACTCCGTCAGTCACCTAACAGACACTTAACTGAGCACCTGTTACCTTCCCGGCCCTGCAGGCTGGCTGTTGTGGGATCTAGCAGTGAACAAGACAGAAGCCCGGCGGGGCAGAGAGACAACAGACAGAGAGACACAAACACCCAGCGATGGGAGTGTGGCGAGTGCTGCGCCGGAAGCCAGGACCGCCGCAGTGTCGGGAGCGAGAGAGCCGGGCACCGAGGAGCGAGGGAGGGAAAGCGCATCTCGGCCCGGCCACGGCCAGTGCAGAGGGCCGGGGGCGCTCGCGCGGGGAGGAGTGAGGCAGGGCAGGCGAGCAAGGCCGTGGAGAGGCGGGCAGGCTGCGTCTGGAGGCACGGGAAGGCCCGGCGGGGTTCCGGGAACGGGTGCCCACGGGCGGGAGGGGCAGGGCTGCGGGGTGCTCTCCCAGCGTCCCTGGACTCTGCTGCATGGACTGAGCGGGCGGAAACAGGAACAGCCTGGAGCCGCCTCCTCGGGGCCAGATGAGCCAAGAGGCCGCTGAGACCGCGGCGGGGGTGGGGAGCCAAGTTCACCCGGCCCTTCTCTCCGGCCCATGGCCCACCCCCTGGCACCAACCCAGGCAGCCTCCATGTCCAGCCAAGACGGTTTGCCAATGCATCCCAAAGGCAAACACGTGGGCTCCCCATGGCCCCTCTGCCCTGCTCCACAGCCCTGCGCTGTCACGTTCTCAATATTCTGCATAAATGACTCAGCCCTGACCGCACGTCCTGTCCTGAGAAGCCCAGCGGCACCAGGGGCCTCGGGGATTCGTGTGAACAGGCTTGTGCTTCCCGCTGACTGTCTCCGTGCTGGCATTTTCAGCACAATGCGACTGGGAACTTTCACCTGCTCTGTTTCACGTGCCTGATGTTTAGGAGGTGATGGGTATACCTCCTTAACAAATGCAGGAAGACTTTCCTAAGTAAAAAAATGCCCATCCACACATAACATGCTTGGGAAGAGGCTGTGGTTACTAGTTTTACATATTAAATTAAAATTAAAAATAAATTAAAGAACTCTCCTTTAGAAAGCAATGGCGCCTGGATGCCTGGATATGCTGAAGGCCTTTCTTTCCTTGACAGCCCACAGCCACATCTCTGCCTTTTCCTGGTCTGGCTGGTTCCTAAACCCCAGCCCACGGTCCCCTTGATGCACAGAGAAGCCAGAGAATGCGGGCTAGGACGCAGTCACTTTGGCATCTAGAAAATCACCGGGCCACACCCAGCGACGGATACAGAAACCCATTAGAAAATCCCACAGCAGTCGGGTGTGAGCACACGGGGCGGATCTGATTATCAAGTGAACGGCCAGTTTGGAATTGCACCTTGGGCACGTGAGCAGATAGCCTGGACGCTTCTATTTCCCACCACGGCTTCCTGGAGACTGAGACGTGGAGAGGCCCCGCGCTGCCCAGCGCCCACCCCCACACCAAGCCCATGGGAACACACTTCAGATGACCACGACAGGTGGGACTTAGTATGATGGGGGGATAGCTGACCACCTGTGCCTGCTTTTTTCATGACCCGGCTGCAGCTGTCTCAGGGTGGCCTTGATTAGAAGTTTCAGCACAAGCATTTTCGGGAAACACTAGATATAAATAAACACATACTGTTTTTTTTAAAAAAGCAGATGTATTGCTGTTTGAAGTAGTACTGGCAAAAAGCAAAACTTGGAGAATTAGTGAGTTCTGTGTTTGAGCCACTTACTTGTGGGTCTTTGTGTAAGTTACTGCACCTCTCTTGATACCATTTCCGCCAATGGTAAAATGAGAATTTATTAGGTAAAATAGAATTTAAAGGGGATCCAATCTGTTAACGGCTCAGCACAGCATCTGGAATACAATGAAAAACTCAATAAAAATAAACTATTGTGAGAAACACTAAACTTTTTTATCTCCAGGATCTTCCTCCCCTAAAGCCATAATTCTAGTCTAATCGTGAGAAAAAACACCAGACAAACCCCAACCGAGTGACAGTCCTCAAAACACCTGAGCGGTGCTCACCAAACACAAGGTAAGTCTGAGCATCTGTCCCCTCCACGTCTATGCAGATATGATGACTAAATGGACTGGGGGCCCATATGAGATGCTGGGGCAGAAAGACAACATAGGTGGTGGAGAATTTTCCTGGTGGCCCAGTGGTTGAGACTCTGCACTTTCAATGCAGGGGGCGTAGGTTCGATCCCTGGTCAGGGAACTGAAACTCTGCATGTCCCACAGCAAGGTCAATCCCGCCCCCGGCAGACGAAAACACAACTGGGGGAAAGGGGTGTGGGGTATATGGGAACTCTCTGTATGTCCCTGCAGCTTTCCTTTGCATCTCAAACTGTCCTGACATAAAAGGTTCACTAAGAAAAGTGCACCGCTGCTGCTGCCGCTACTGCTGACACTAGCCAGCATTGTGGACAGACCCTGGACAGGAGCCTGAGGTCTGCGAGGGGAATGGGCAGGCCGGGACTGGAAGCCCCCACCCTTCTCTGGATGCTGGTGTGAGGCTGCGCGGACTGAGGACCTCCTTCATCCCAGGTACTTTCACACTGCCAGGACAATTTTACAGAGGACTGATAATTCCCTGGTAATCTGAACACGATGATCAGGGCTATGGCGGAGGAGATTCCTGCATGGAAGGCTGAGTTAGATAGAAAGGAAAAATTAAATTCTCTGCTTGAGGGGCGTGAAAACCTGCTCTAAGAGGTGTTCTTAAGAGAACATCAAGCAGATTACGAGTTATCATACCGTGCAGCTCCATTTGTATGACATTCTGGAATACGCAAGAACTACAGCGACGGCTCAGACCAGCGGTGGCCAGCAGGGGGGCGAGGGGACTGGTTACGGAGGGGCACGGAGGAGGGGGGTGGGGGCACCTCTGGGGCAATGGAAACAGTCTGTCTCAATGGTGGTGGGGTTAACTGACCGCACACACTCGTCAAAGTAAACAGATGCACATGCGCAAACAGTGGAGTTCACCGAATGTAAATTACGACTCAAACCTGACTAAGAGGCAACGCACGAACATTCAAGGTAATTTGGGAGATGATGAATAGGACGAAATCTCTCAGAATCGTTATCAAGACCGCTCACGAGCACTTTGGTAGACCGTCTGTGTTATTTTTTAACACCTCACTTTTTGAAGGTCCATATAGTTCTGTAACTTGCCTTTTCCCACACAATGCTGCAGCATATGCCCACCCCATCTTCGGAGCTACCATTTTAGGAGCTGTTAAGTATTCCACCCCGAGCGTCTCATCACCACGCCGCGCCCCCCCACCAGACAGCGTGGTGGTCCTGCTCCGTGCTAACATACACAGTGCCACAATGGGCGTCCCTGTGAAGCACGCTTTTCTGCCCCGTGTTTAGGATTAGAATTTAGAATCCTTAGGCCGGATTCCCAGAAATGGAATTACTGGGACAAAGG